CATAAGGAACAAATGTAATGGAAATGAAAATTGTCTAGTAAATTATTAGGCACGTTCACATACATATATATAACTTAATGTTAGCCCTAAGTAAACTACATTTTTCACTTTGGTTAAAAACAATTGACACATTAGGATAAATTACCAGTTAGAGTTTAACTGGCCATCTCTTTCATTTTAACTGTTAGTTGTCGAGGGAAATTTTGAGTTTACAGACTTGATGACAAGTTAATAAAGTGGCTGGCAAAATGTAACTGGCAGTTATGCTGCAAATACTGTACTGTAATATCGTGTCGTGTGTCGTCTCAGCCAATGGCAGGCTTTATGGACGCTTAAAGCTTTTGGCCAACTGGTGGCAAATTCAATAAAAAACATGAAACGCGAATGCAAAAGGCATTAAAGAAGAAATAGGTGATTAGGACACAGCGCAGCGAGAAAACGAGTTTCGCAGCGAAAGGGAAAACTTATGGCAAACGAAATTGCGTTGAGCGCTTTATGAGCCGACTTTAGATTGAAATTACCGCCTTAAATATCAATTAAATTGCCGCTGTTGCCGGTTGCACGGTTGCACGGTTGCATGGCTGCATGGCTGCACGGTTGCCGCTTGTGTTGCAGTTGCACTGTTGAAAGATCGAGAGATTGAGACTGCTTCCCAGATACCAGAGTCGTCTTCCTCGACGTAATTCTCTTTCGGCGACCTTGTGCCCGTTTTATGAGCAGCACTCGCAACGAAATGAAACTGAAATGAAATTGTTTACATGAATGAATGGGCATGGTCTTGGCCAGCGCGTCTCTCTGGCCATAAATGCGATGAGGTAAACAGCAAAGTGAAACAAAATTTAGATTTGAAGTGCTCATAAAGCCAAATGCTGAAACAGTTGCAAGCGGCAAAGCCTGCGTCAAGTTGTTGTTAAATTGATGCCATGGGCAAAAACCAAAATATTGTCAACCAATTTCTTTAAAACTGTTTGCCATTTGTCTTCGGTGTTGTTTTCGTTGTTTTTGTCGTCTGTGCTGTTGTTTTTCTGTTGTTTCATCTGTTTTTTTTTTTTCTTTTCATTTCTGTAAGTTGTTGCACTGTGCAGCAGCGAAGTCAACAAACTTGTTCAAGGCGCAGCCGCAGCCGTCGCTGCATGACTTGCCAGACAAGCTCAAGAGACAGACAAACAGACAGACCGACATAAACTCTAAACTCTAACTGAAACTGAAATTGAGACAGTGCTAGAAAATTGCAAGCTCTTCGTGTTGCTCTATTAGCTAGAAATCGCTTGGCCGAATGAGCTGTAAAAAAAATTTTGTTTTGTTGGTTTCCTCTGTTTTTTTAAGCATTTTCAGATTTTCATGTTGTTGGCAATGATAGCATAACGCTCACCTGCAGCTTGGCCAATTTGATTTGAATTCGATTTGAAATATATTTGTTTCCTTATATGCATACCCTTTAACTCATGCAGATAGCTTAGTGGGTATTATGTGCTTGAGCAAAGGCCCGCCATACTAAACTCGAATGCAGGAAAATCTTATGTTGCCATGTACTAAATGCTGATAATAATTTACATTTTTTTAAAATTATTTAGTTCCATTTCATGGCTGAAGACAGAATTGGAGTGTAGTATACAGGGTACCTAAAGAAGGTATCTTTTAGTTGTGGGTTTACTGTTGCCTTGAAAACACTTGTAACTTTAAAACTTTATTGTAAGCTATTAAAATTATCTTTTAAAAATGTTTAAAAATATACATATAATATAATTCAAGTATTTTAAGACGAAATTTAAATGAATATCCAATCAATATATATTTTTTGGTTCATGAAGCTGTTAAAATGATTTTCCTTAAGGAAACATACGCATAAGGAAACCTATTTTGTGTGAAATGAGCTTTATATAATTGATCATTAAATTTTAATAGTTATTAACTGGTATTCCTAGCCGAAAAATTCGCTTGAGTATATCTTATACATGTTCGCTCTGAGCAGGTGGGAGCTGTGGTTTGATATAAAACAAATAAAGCAAAGCTTACGACAGTCGCTCTATTTAAAAGGCAAAGCAACGTTCCCAGCTCGGCTTTATGCTGCCTGGCTGAAGGTCTTTACAAGAGACCAAAGAGTGTTGAGCGCAACTCGAACTGCACAGATTGAGACAATCGGAGCTGTGGCCCAATGCAAATTAGTCGTAGCCTAACTTATGGCTAGAGTATGGAAATTGGAGTAGGCCGTAGTGAGTCATGCATCTGCGTGTTTCCAAATCTGGCCCAGCAGTGCCAGAGGGTAGGCAAGGCAGGCTGGGCGGGGCCGGGCCGGCATGGAACTCAATTTGCAGGGCTCATTAGCACGCGGACAGTTTGAGAAAACGATGTCAAGTGCGTTGCCAACGACTTACGCAGCTTGTTTATTTATTGTGCGGGGATATTTTGTTGTGAATTACATTTATTTGACGGCTATTACTGGGCCAGCGCAACGAGGATGTTTACAGCAAATAACTTTGTTTTATGCGCCATCAAAAGCGACGTTGCACACGGCGTATGCGCAACGAATATGTGTGATTGTGAGTGTGCATGTACATGTGTGTGTGTATTCGTACAGGAAGTTCAAGTGGCAGCCTAAATATTGATGCATACATCTAGATAAGCGTCGGCTTTAAAAAGCCTGCCAGGCATGACAAGCGCTTTTCATATCTGGCCATCTGTATTTATTTTATATTAACGTAAAACCTTGCCTTTAATTGACTATTCAAAAGAAATCCATTTGTAAAAAAAAATGCTCAGGCTTTTTGTATAAGAGCCAATATTTTTGCACTGTGCTCTTGGCTGGCTAGCAACAACAACTAAAGCAGCAGCAACAATAGCAGCAGCAACAACAACAATAACATATCAATTTCAATTTCATGCGCGATTTGTTACAACATTCAATTTGATGGCACATTTTGACCAACAAACACCCACAGCGCTGGGCAGTTGGGCATTTTCAATGTCAGCGTTGCGCAAATGTCGCCCAGCTGGTATGGTATATGGTATATGGTATATGCTATGTGTGAGTGCTGTCGTCCATGTGGGCCTATTGATGAAGCCATTAGATATGTAACGCGTAACAGGTTGAGAGGCTGGCTGTAGCTGATGCAAATTTGATGGCTCACAAAATGAAATCAAATACCAAATGTAAAATATCTTGAAATTTATGCAAATATAAAGTTTTTGCTCAACGTTGAGACAATATTTCAATTTGTGAATGAAATGGTGTGTTTATACAATATATTAAGTTGTAAAAAATATTTTCAAATTTTAAAAATTAAAACGTGTTGTATATATATTTATTTACCTCTTTTTCACAAAGAAAAAAATATTTAATTTAATTTAAAAAAAAGACTCTATGAATATTTAAAGACAACGAAATTAAATCTTTTTAATATTAATTTATTA